CAGCCAAGGAAACAAATATCTAACAAAAGTTCTACACACCATAGAAGAGTTACAGAACAGTTTTCTGGTTTTAAGATTATAGTCTCATAGAAAAGAAGGTTTTTCATAAGAAGTGCCCTACATACTCCCTATAGCAGTTGAGATTCCAACTCTAATTCTGAATTTTCAAATGGTCCACCAGACAAACTGGACAGTAACTGATGATAGCAACAAAAGTGAGACAGAATCCTGAATCTTTCATCCAGTCATGGAATGGTTTAATGCCTTTCATATGATCATATTTCACTCCAAAGAAAAATGGCAGTATCCCATTAAATTTAAAAAAATCAAAGCAATGCAATTTGGTGGGAGGGGGAAGACTCAACAAAGAAACTAAAACAAAATTTAGCCAAACTCTTTGGAGATACAAAGTAGAGCTACAAAGTTTTTAAAAGTATAACTTGAGGATATTTGAGCTGTTCTGTGTTTACACAGAACAATCTCTATTTTTAAAGGTGTTTTGTTTTTTTTACTGATGTGAAATACTACAGCATAATATTCCCAGAACTAGCATTTTTATATGCACAAAAAATTAAAGCTGTTTTCAAATCCTGCCTGTCAATTTGCTCATTGCAAAAATAGACAAAAAATATGAAGTGCAATGTAGCAAACTAGAGCTAAGTGCTCTCTCCCTTTCCTCTTTCACACTCTATGATTTTTTAGCAGCATTTTTTAACAGAGATGAGAAATGGGATTTTTGGTACATATGTTAACATATTGTCTCCAGCTGAGCACACAAACACAGATGCACATTTGTTTCATTAGCAATGTTCCTGCTCCATTCCAGGCTGCTGGGAAGGAGATCTAGTGAGTCACGGGTGTAGCTGCAGGAAAAAAAATCAGTTTAGGGCTTGCCATATCACTGTTAGGCTGAATATGCAAAATTGAGTGCAAGTTCCTTAAAATTCCAAGGTTCCCCTGAGGGAATGGGAATTTTCTTGCAGCAGGAATGAAGGGTGAATATAACTGAGTTATATTCACCTGTGATAGGTTTGATTTCTATAAAAATGTACATAACTAGCAACACTAACACACAATTATACTTAAAAGTTGCAGAAATGCTTTTGGATAAAAATATTGCCAGTTTTTTATGACTTCTAGACTGCAAACATTGTTAGGAGACATATTAGAAATGCCTGCCAGTGCCCACACCTTCCTTTTTCAGTACTTTAAACTGGCAGTGACAACAATATTTCCAGAACTGTAACAGAAAAAAACCCTACAGTATAATCCAAATATCCACCTGAATCAAGATTTTCTGTACAAGCACTTTTCTTTTCAAATAGTAATTACTCTGTAAGAAATAAACAAAAATACTCAGAGTCTTGCTGGCTTCTGCAAGCACGATGAGAAATTGTACTCTATGAAAATGAAAAAGACAAACTCAGTCATCAAAATAACTTAAACACTGACATCCAAAACTGCAATTTTGTCTGACATTTTCCCATCTTTTCCACAACATGAAGAAGAGCAATTCAAGCTAGCCTGAAGGTGCAGGAGTACATGGAGCTGCAAAACAGGAAAACAAATTGGAGCATAGAGAATCCACTTCATGATTTAGGCACTCAAGTAAACCAAAGGATGGACCAAGAATAAAAGAAAATAAAATCACATTTTATTCAAAGAACATAACTTTCAATACTGGCTTTAAAAGCAAATGAGAAAATGTCATTAGGGGCAAAACTATGTTAACTGATCCATTTTAAAATGAAAAAGTAAGACGGAACAGCCTTCCTCTCTAAAAAACTAACAAGGATATATAGTTTTGGAGATTTGCTGACAGGCAGAGCTGTTTCCAATTCTATAAATATATCAGTGACAGTTCTTTCCAGATCTAGTTTGGTTTTATTTCTTGATAGATAACACATCACTTCAGAAAACAGATAACATTCTGCTGATTAGGAGTGGAACAGTGCTGCTGGATGGGATCCTCATCATGGTTCATTAGGGTACTTGCCTCATCTTAGCTGTTCTTCATTATTAACTTTGGGGACTGCAGGAATACTTGAGAAAATACCAGTTCTTTGTTGGGAACTGTAAACTATGTGCAGTCAGCCACAACAGGCTGTCAGTGCAAAGAGATTTTACCAAGGATTTTTTAATTTTTTCTTGAATACAACACTTCAATCCCTGCCTTGGCATGATGAAGGGAAGGACTTGTTGGATTTCTGCTGAACCATCTGCAGACTGGTTGGGGCACTCAACTTACCCCGTGGAGGGTCAGCAACCCTGCTTGTGCAGCATCCCTTTGGCTTCTAAAAAACCCTGCTATTTACATGGGGTTAAAAAGCACTTTCTGCCATGATTGCCTATAAAATAGCTTGGCTCGAACCTACTCTATATATATTTATTTTAAGTATATCCCTAAATACTTGATCTCTGAACTAGCAATACAGTCCCCTTCATAACTGCTTTGTTGGTGCTTTTCCAAAAGGTATTTTGTTTCTGTAGCAGGAAAAGTTAGAGACAGTTGATGATAGTGACACTTCCCCCACTGCCACCTTACACACACACACAAAGACACACTCTTCCCTAAACCCTCTGAATTTTTAACCCACTTCAGCCTTTACCACCCAGAGAATTTTTGGTCAATGCATCCCATGATTCACGATACACACAGTTTGTTTTCATAGTGCTAACTTTCTTTCTTTCTTTCTTTTTTTTTTTTTTTTTTGTTGTTTGGGTTTTTTTTTGAAACAGTGAGTAATTATACAATGATATCGAGTTCTCCCCCAGGACAATCCCAACCTCCCAGATTTCTCAAACTCCCCTGTACCTTAATCCTCTTTTCTAAGCTGGAAATCCTAGAGACTAACTCTCCCTTTGCCATTCCTCAGAATTCCTTGCAGCTGTGCTACCATGGACTAGTCACAGCTGGGGTTCAAGGTCTAGGCACATCATGGTAATGGTAGAGATGATTTCCAATAATCTTATTATTATTTTTATAATTACTAATATCTCAACACTTTTTGCTAAGCCATGGCTCCTTAAACTACCATTTCTATAAGGTCATGTACAGAAACCCAAAATTCCCTGACAGAAAGCAGATTCAATTCATTTATCATTGTATGAAAAGCAAGATCTGCTTTTCTTCAGAATTAATATTTACATTTAATCTCTTGAATTTCATCTGCCCATGAGAATCCAAATCTTTCCCAAAACAAATTATCAGCAGGTATTCTTCACATACAACACATTTCAAATGTCTCTATACCATTGTAAAGAATTTTCGTCTTGATATAATTTATTTTTAAACAAAATCAATATCGTTATTACAAAAGTACTTTGTTATGATTTTTATTTTCAAGTTACAGCCATTACTAATGCAACAAATTTCATAAAAATAAGATGATCACTGAAGTCCAATTGTATCAATGACCAACCATCACAGACATACTTTTCCCAAAAAAAGGGGGGAAGTGGACAAAACTTCCAGCAGCATTTAAGCAACAACCTTCCTGTTCCACCATTAGAACCAGAGGAAATACAACAGACAGATAAATTATCTCCATAAACCCCATCCAAAATACTGATTCACCAGCAAAATAGAATTTCTTTAGTTAGCAACATTTACAAACACAATCAGAGGCAGATGTTTCAGCCCAACAGGAGAACTTATCTGTGACTAATGCTCTTGCCAAGACACCTGAAATGTGGTGAACAAGGTACAGCAATCCTTCTTTCAGACACAATGAAATGCAGCCTGAGTACATCTCAGGCTGGATGCAGTTCCCTTCAAGGACATGACCTTTCCAATACTCCAAAAAAGTTTTTGCACAAGTCAAGTGAAGAATACAGCTACAAACCAGGAAAACTGGATTGAAAACTCAAATTTAAAACCGAACTTCCAAAATTCAAAAGCCAGAGATCAAGTAAAGCACAGCCAGAAAATTGAAATAATGAATTGGTTAGCAGCTCCCAAAGTAAGAGATCACAGAAAATATGGGAGTCCTGAGCTGAAAAATCAAAAACCTTGAACATAATTGCATTATGTCAGCATGTAGCTCTGCTTACATGTGTTAGATTTCTTTCTTTTCTGTAAGGCAGCATGAGATAATTGCCTGAACAATATCAAATATCCAGTATTATAGGGAAAGCAGTTTTGGATAAACACCCTGTATTTACAGCCTGTGTTTGCCAGCTTGGCTTTGCTAATTTCAGCACACGCTTACAACTTATCCAGCTTGAGCCACAAATGGTCCCCAAAGCCCCTGAAATGCAGGAAAAGCTGCCACTGGAACCTTGCCTTATTTGACTACTTACTGTCCTTATGTACATACAGTGGCATTAAAACTCCCAATAAAAAATGCAGTGCCTGAAAATCTACCTGATTACAATAAAGTTCTCCATATGAAGATCCTTTTGGCATGTTGAGGGCACAGATGAAAACCACATTACTCTGTTCTTGACCAGATAACAACTCATTACTCACAGCATATAGATCTCTCTCTTTTTTAATTACAACAAATTTCCGTACCATTAAGAACCCTGATAACCACATTTCGGAAAAAGTCTTGCTGAGGCAGTTTAAGGCATTATTGCCTCCATCTCTCACCCCCTCTGTAGAGGATGATAGGAACATGCATAAGTTCAGCCCCACATACCAGTACCCAAAATTGGGTTTGTGCAGAGCTGCTAATGACCCCAAACAGCTGAGCTATGAGGAAATTCAGCCAGTGACTTTCCTAAAGCAGAACACAGCAATCTATCACAGAAAACATCATTTGTCCATTTACAATTCTAAATTTAGTTGCTCCAGAAGAAGGACTTCTCCATAATACCTGCACAAGCATAAACAATGCTGGAGAGATGATACAAGGACTGGAAACCCTCACCTGGGACAGGTATTTGAAGATGTTCCTGCCTAAAGTGCATGAAATTTGAAGTAGAACATGTTTTCACAAGTAACTTGGGACCCTCTGTTATACTTGCCCAAATCACTACTCTGTCCCTCATTTAAAATCTCATAAAATGGACTTTTTCCACGATTACAAGAATTTGTGCTTACTGAAATAATATATAGAAGAAGGAAAAAAGAGACATTTCATTCAAAGAAAACAAAGAATAATGCTGTCAAGTTGCAGAAGTGCCCTCAGATGAGGACACTGACATCTCTGAGCTTCCCCTTCTCAAAAGCTTGATGTTTGTCTCTTTTTCTAACACTGCCAGCTGTCAATTTTAGATTGTGAGCTTTGAGGCAGGGATGAAGATCACACACAAAAAAGAAACTCTTTTCCCTGGTAATCACTGCACTTAGAGAAGTTTCATTTTGCTCCCAGTCACCTTTATTTTTTGTCCAGACAGAGTCACATGGTGTTTAAAATTACTCCCTGCAGCCCTGCTGTCACAGTCTGCTCCAGAGGGTTAAGGCTGGCAGCAGGCAGTGGAAGACTGGGATAAAATCCCAAAGATTTTACTGCCTGAAATTACTTTTCCTATCCACCCATCAGTGCAGCTAAAAGCATTAAGGTTTCCTTAGATTCATCCTACCTTTCACAGTACTTGCACAAAGGAGGAGCCTAAAGAAATTATGGATGTAAAAATGAGGGGTTTTCAGTATTTTCCCAGGGCTGCGCTGGGGCATGGAGCCATTAACAGCTTCTTCTCCATTCACATCCCACTCCTTTAGCACTTACAGCTCATGGAGCTCAGGAGATTGTCCTAATATCAGATGGGGAAAAGAATAATTTCTTTACAGAATGACTAGGAAAAAACATGTGTAGGAAGCTCCTCTTAAATACCCTTATACATTGCTTTCATGCCATCAACAATAATGGCATAAGCTTTGGTTAAAAATGCTGAGATCTATGTATAAATTCAGTACATACTTAGAAAAAAATTGTATATGTCTATGTAAAATGGGGGAAAATCAGGTTTACTTGAATTCTATATTTGGTTTAGCGAAAAACATGTAATCTTTGGAAAGTGCTTCCTTTAAGCAATGTTCTAGGCAACTCTGCAATAGACAGGAAAACACCATCTCAGTGATGCTGCATTTCTGGAAAGGTCTGCTAAATAACTGGCACCTAGTTAACAAAGCAGTGTTTGGTTTGGCCACTCAAACGGCATACATGAAAATTTGCAGTGAAAAAACCCCAACAAAATCAATCAAATTCAGCTCCTCAGTAGAAAGATGCATCCATAAGTAAAAGAGCCAGAGGGAACAGGGGGCCGGGATGAAGTCAAAGCCTTAAACTCCTCCTTTTGGTGACACGGACAATAAAAGTGAAAAATCTGCAAATCAGCTGGTCCTGGCGGATGGCTGGGGAGGCCACTGCCACCTTCAGTGACATTGTGGCATTCTCACAACACCAGCCTGCTGAAACCCTGGCACTGCTCCCTGGCACACCAGACCCTGGTGCTGCCCAGCGTGCTGTAACTGAGCTGGAAAGCTGCTGAAGGGATATTCCTACCCTGGGAACAGCAGGGCTTGGCCTCAGAGATGCAGATCCCCAGCATCCCAACACCAACTCTTAAAAAGAAAGAATCTGTATATTTATGTGCTGTAATATGGAAAGAGAAAACGGCTCCACGTTGAAATGAAATAGCTATTGAAATAACTCATCATTAAATCTTGATTTCTAATACGGACTGCTAAGTTCATTTACTCAGAAAATGACATTTTACTGCTTTTGCTGAGTGTAAGCAAAAAGAAAGAATCTCTATACTTATGTGCTTAGCTACAACTGCAATATGGAAAGAGAAAACAGCTCCACATTGAAATGGAATAGCTATTGAAATAACTCATCATTAAATCCTGATTTCTAATATTGACTGCTAAGTTCATTTACTCATAAAAGGACATTTTACTGCTTTTGCTGAGTAGAAAAACTAAGTGTACTCAAGGATACTTCATTGTCAAACACTAATGAATGAAAATTAATCATAAAACCAATAAAATTACTATTTTTAAAAGGTCTTACTAAACTACCTGTGAAAGGCAGGAAAATAAAGCAACTTTTCCCAACTTTTCAACAGAGGAAGCACAAAGACTGCGCAAAAATAAAACTTGCATAGTACCTCATGCTTTACCAAGTACAATTACAAAATGGATTCTTAAGCAGTAACAGGGAAAGAAAATCTTACTATAAGACAACAAGTAAACCTTAAAAGATACAAATGTGTTTTTCATCACTACACTTCCCTTTCCTGTTAAAGAATAGTATTTTAAGAAGAAATTTACTTAGCCAGAAAATAAGGGAGTACATAGAATTTAGTGAAGAAAAACTACTTCTCTGGTAGTTCTTTTGCTGCCATTACACAGTTTTTTTGGCTTTTCCTTAGGCTGCCGACATGAGGTTCCAAAAATGGTAAGGTAATTGACCTTGACATTGCCCCTGATATGCTGCAAACACAAGTATTCCAGAGAAATGTAACAGCACAACATAATCTACCTGCCTAAAGGAGTTTTTTGTATATATATTTATATTTGTTTTGTTTATCAGGCATATAGCTTCATTTTATTTTTGTTTAGTATTTTACATCTCATTCCTTTTCATTACCTGTCTTATCAACAATGATTTTTTTCACATCAACTTCTTTAGTTGGTGTCTGGTCTCCTATTTACCAGGTATTTCATAAATCATAAAGAACCTCAGGCACATGGAAGTGGGAACCAGCTTTAAAGCCATCATTGCTTAATTAAGTTTTCCTACAAGAAAATGCAGCTTTATATAATGGCAGAACAAAAATCAAAAGTGACAGATTGGGTGACTGGAATTTCTGTGACTTTTTTAATCCATTAAAATGCCCAGCCTTCTAATTCTGGAAGAGAATTTGGCACCAGCTGGAATCCTCAGACAGCATTAGTAAACAGTAATAAAATGTCCCTCAATAAAAATTTTAAATCATGAGTTTAGAAAACACTACCATAAAGTGAAACACACATATTAAATTGAAAGATTCACGTGACTGACCAGGTCAAATCCTGTCACCTGGGAAACAGAAAGAAGAAAAGCAACTTAAATCTGCTAAGGATTTCATTTGACAGATTCTGGGAGACTAATAAATAATAGGGTGAAATATGACTTTACAGCAGCTGAAATTCAGAGTCCAGGGAAGCAAATTAGTGTTCCTGCACCAACAATATGAAGCCAGTGTTCAACAAACCAAAAAACTCTTAAAAGAGGGTGAAGAACCTTGGAACTTACAAGCTGGTTCCAGGGTATTGGATTTCTCTCATATTCTCTCCCTCCAAGAACAGCCTGAGGAAAAAGGCAATCTCTGGTTCCACCTGACAATTCCACACACTAAACATGATGGCAAAGAGGAACAGATTGCTGACTGTGCCCCTCAGGGTGACCAAACTTTGAGATGCAGCCCTTGAGGCCAAGCCCTTGCCCTGACCCACCATTTTCAGGCAATAAACCTTGAAGTAGCTGCACATCAAATGCACTTGCTGAGGTCACACAAACAGGGTTCAACAAAGGCACAACTGAGTTTGCTCAGGTGTTTGACACATCTGGAGTTACAGCGTCACAGTCACAACACATCTGCTGCCCACAGCCTGGCCTCACTAAATGTCAGTTTGACTTTAAGCACCTGCTAGAACTTTCCTTGGATTCCAGGAGGTCCCATAGAAACTTGTCACCAGAAAAACCAATGAAAATCAGAAGCTCTGAGTGGCCAGCTCTGGAGCACAGGTATAAAACAACTTTACTGGTAAGAAACCAGCCCTGGGAATTGTGAGAAATAAGATATTTCGTTGCTCCTTGTCTAAGCCTCGCTTGGAAAAAACGACAAAAAAAAAGACAAAACTAAACGAATCCAAGTCATGTTTATAGGAAGAGTTGGGGTTACACAACCATACAGAGCAGCAGTGAGCCAAAAGAACCTCCTGAAATAAACATGAACTTGGCAAAAGAAGGCAGCAATTACATTCCTGTAGACATGGAGCATTATGAGATCCATGCAAAGGACACTACTCATTTTTCCCTAATACCTGTGGAGAGCTGGGTGTCAGCAACAGCTCAGCTCAAGGAATGTTTCAATAAGTCTACTTTGAAAATGTAGAATGCCAGAAACCAGAATATGAACATTTTAGACATCAAGTAAGCAGCTTTGACATTTGGATTTGAAATAGTTCACTCAAGTCCTAACCCAAAAGGACTTTCCCAGAGAACAGCATGTAACATCAGGGAACTAACGCCAAGGCTCAGTTTGATTACATAATACTACTTTATTCCATTGATTCAACTTTCTTACAAGTTTAAAAAAATATGTATAGGGGTTCAGAACCACCTCAACAGAACAAAGAATACAGCATTAAGGGAGCTCTAGAGTGAAACCACAAGTGTGCACACGTGGTCAGCTTTCATTACAAAAAGTAATAGGCACAATCTTTACATACGCATTTTGGTGAAAGAAGGAATAATAGTGCAGTGTTAAAAGGCACCAATAATCAATAATTGGGCCTTTTTTAAAAGCCAATAACCATCTAAGAAAATTACATTTGGTTCAAAGTTGTAATTTAAATATTGTATTGATTGGCATGCATCTGAACCCCTGGCAATTTATTACACAAACCTTATGTGTGCCCTTGCAAAATCAAAAAGATTTCATCAGTGGACCTGAAAGTCAGTTCAGTACAAAAGGACATACCAAAGCTCTCAGCCTGTATTTAACACCAAATTGCTTTGTTTACCTCCTCTGAGAACACTTGTCTAACAAAGAGCTGCACAGAAGTATTTATCTTAAAGCAAGTGTAAATTTTTTGATCCTGTAGCATTGACCTACCCCATGTGCTATGAAAACATTAGGCACAGACCACAATTTATGTTTTCTCTTAAAAAAATACAGTATGTGCAAGTGGAGGTTCACACAACAGACTGACAGCTACAACAGTAAGCTCTTTAGATTTCCCAAAGAAAAGGGTCAGTTATTTTTAATTTTTTAAGCAGTGCTGCACACTGCTGTGTGCCATTATCATATCTGCATTAGGAGCACCTGTGGAACCAGTGAGGAAAAACTTCAGTACCCCCTAAAGGACCCTACACAGACTCTGTGTGCTGACTGAAATGGGTCAAGAGAGTGAACAACTGGGGAAATCATTGGACATGGGCAGCTGCAGCCAGCCACGGAGGGCCATTGCCTCCTGCAGAAAGAATGGTTTGGAACTCAGGCAACCTCACAGGTGCTCTCAAACTCACTCACCTGCACACAATGGAATAGAGGGATGCACAGCATGGGAAGAAATGGGAAATGAGAGGGAGAGCTTCTGTTTAAGTTGTACCATGAGGTGCCAGTTTATCCCAAAGCGTCATCATGCCCAGGGCAGGGTTTATGCACTGCAGATATTTTGTACAACTGAAATTGTACAATACGTGAGCAAAGGTAGAGCTGATTATTACCTGCAGTATCTACTACAGTCCTCAAGTATATAATTTACCGATAGCTGCATACTGTGGTGTTGATTGCTTCCTCTTAAATGCATTAAAATGTGAAGGCTACAGTATACTCTGACACAAAGACAACTTGTCTACGAGGGGGAAAATGTAAGATAGTAATTAACTAATTTGTTTTACAAGGAGCCTCCTCTGATGTGCTAGTTACTTCATGCCCTGTAGAAGATTTTTATTTCTTTCTTCATCATCTCTCTTGAATTGCTCTCCTGACAATTTCACAGGAGTTCAGTGACCCTTGTTACAGCTGCCTTTGCCTTTTCCACCAGGATCCCTTTTAAATTCACTCTTAACACCACAGCAAGCTGTTCAAGTAAACATTTCTCTCTGGCAAGTTTCCAGACACCACAAATACTATCAAAACTCAGCATTTGATTACATGCACCAGTTTTCTTTAAATGGAGCAGGAATTAGCCCGTTTCCTTGGCTTAGGGTCCCGTACATCCCTGTCTTTTAAACACACACAAGATGAACATATTGTCTCTGACAGTCTCCGCAGTCCCAGCCTGAAAACGCTATTGGAGAGGCTATAGATCACACAGTTGCAGAAACTATTGCTTATAGCAAGCCACGTAGTTAGGAAGGAGAGTGCTGGGTTCTCCAACACCCTGGAGCTCTCCAGCAGAAAATATATGATATAAGGGAGCCAGAGCACGTAGAAGACGCTGGTTATCCGGAACAGAACCATGGCATAGCGGCGGTCGGGGCTGTGCCCAGCCTCCCCAGCAGCATCCCCCTCGTGGTTAGGGAACCGAGCTCTGCGGTCACTGATCTCTTTGGTGTGCTGCCGGCAGATTTTAAAGATGTGGAAATAGGTGAAACATATGACAAAGGCAGCAGGAGCGTAGAGTAAGCACACGATAAAGCCAGTAAAGTAGGCATTAGTTAGCCAGGAGGTAGCACACCATTCAAAAATATCTCCGTGGTAACCAGGTTTTCCCCAACCAAAAAAAGAAGGCAAGAAGATCAGGCAAGAGTATATCCAGATGAGACTGATGCAGATTCTCAAGCGACAAGGTGTGACCAGTTGGTTATAGGAGAGGGGCTTTGTTATAGCGAGATAGCGATCCACACTGATGCAAGCAAGACATGCCATAGAGACGCTTTTGAGCACAGAGATGATGTATCCAAAAACTTGACAAGTCAAGGACTCGTGGACACCTGTTGAGTAGTGGAGCAGTGACAAAGTAGGAACCAAGCAGCTGACTCCAACAAAAAGATCAGCATAGGCCATGGTCTGAATAAAGTAGCTGGTGGTGTAATGATGCAGTAGTGGAGCACAGTGGAAAACAAATATCACAGTTAAGTTACCCGCAATAATTAAAAACGTTAGCAAGACAATAACGACTGTCTCAAGGATACAGATGTCAACTGCATTGTAGTGACCAAATCCAAGAGGGCAGGAGAGGTGCTCAGATATGTTCATAACACTACTGCTCATATTCAGAGTCCTCCATTCAATCCATCGGGACTGGTTCATGTTTTGTGCTTAGGGAACAGTGCAATCTGAGCCTTAGTGAGCAGGTGACCTACTGAACAGCAGCTAAACTCTGCTTCAGCGCCTCACGGTCTCTCCTTGCAGACACTGCCAGTGCTAACATGGGAGAGGATTAGAGTCCCATGGCTGTTGATGCCTCCTCAGCATCAGTGCATCACCTCTGGCACACCTTGGCTTGAAGGAAAGAACGAAAGAAAGAAAGAGAAAGAAAGAAAAGAAAAACAAAAGCCAGAAAGAGAAAGGCCACTGATCAGCTCCTCCAGTGCTCTTGACCCATCTTTAGCAAACACAAGGCACTTCTAAAACAAACAGAAATAAAAATTGACAAAACAGACACATTCATTTCCCAGGGAAGGAGGGGGGGGGAATCTCTAACTTATTTTCCTGAGAAAGTCATTTACTTTGGAATATACTGGAGAGAGGGAGAGGAAGGGAAGGAGGAACCTCAGTACAGCTCAGGTTTCCTGGACCAGCAGTTACTGGAGATAATCTTTATGTCTTAGTTTAAATCACAGACTGACTGGAGATTAAAGGAAAAAAGTTCATCCTCTAATGCTATCTTTTCTTGTTCGATTCAGAAGATGGTACTCTATCTTACCCATGCTATTCATTGGAAAGGTAAGGAAAACATCTTTGTCAAGGTTAATTCCAATAGACTCACCACTATTTGGGTATGAATAATGAATTTTATTTAGAGGGAGACAGGTGGAGGGGGGATGAAGGAGATTTGTCCTCTGGCTCCCAAGAAAGAAAACATACATCTCACATACAATGAGGAAGATCATATCTATTCATTTAAAAATGAAAATAATTTAAAAATAGATTTTGGAGGCTCATGTCAATATTTACAGTTCTTTTAAACAGTTATAGTCCATTACAATAACAAATGCCAGAATCATAATTCCGTGTTCCCACAGAAAAAAAAAAAAACCTCGTGAATTTAATTTCAGCAATGGCAATTTAAAAGAATCATCTTTAGAAACTCTGCCATATCTACTACAGTGGATCAGCACCCAGGAGTTCATAGGTATATCCATGATATTGCTCACCTCTGTAGCAACAACTGAATCATTTCACAAAACCCCACACAATGAGCTCAGAAACTTCCATCTGCATTCTGCTGGGAAGCTAATGAATGCTGATTTGACTAGAAAAGCTGCCATTGTTTACTACTCCATTATTCTGTTGCTCAGCTTCATCTTCTCAGGGGTTTAAGGTTTCTATATTTATTAGATGATCTGCATAATAAATAGTTGCTTAAAAAAATGTTCTTCTATTTGCAGAACATTACCTTGTTCATTTTATTCACAGCTATGGAGAGAGAAAACATTAAAAGCATCTTCTGTGTTCAGTTTTAAGTAAATGCTTGATTAGTTCAGGAATCATTAGGCAGGTAATTAAATGGATACAATCTTGTTTTTTTGAAAGGCCCCAAAAATGTTAAAAGCATCATTAATCCTAGAGTTCTTGAGACTAGAAGACCAGCAGTGAAAATTAATGAATCCACACAAAATCATCTCCAAGGTCATTCAGCTGGCGTTTGCTTTAAGTCTCTTTAAAAGTACCAGGATCTCTCTGATGTTTCTGATACTCCTTGTTGTGTCTTCAGGACGAATTTCACACACTAGAAAAGCCAAATGTTCAATTCTGTCGCAGCACTTTGAGAGAAAGCATTCTTTTTGGAGTTAATTTCCTGTCGTGTACCGCCACGCTGTACAGAAAGTCCTTTCAGATTTTATAACATCCCCGAATATTTCCGCCTATTCGCTCCCTTTGTCTATAAGCAACAGAGCACGTATAAAAGCCACTCGTTTCTCCAATTCCCTGCTAAAGCAATAGAGAAGCTTTCTCACCTACACGCGTCCGCTATGTCCAATACTTGTCAGAGAGTCAGCGCTGGTACCGCGGTGCGGCTGGAGCGGCTGCCGCTGCCTCCCCGCTCCCCCCGTGCGATCACTGCCTGCACCTGAGCCCGCTCCTCCTCCTCCTCCTCCCCGCCGCAGCCCGCCGGGCGCTGGAGCGGTGCCGGCCGCTCCCCTCCCTGCTCCTGGCACATCCAATGGCGCCGCCGCTGGCACCGGGAACGGGAACGGCACCGGGCACCGGGAACGGCAATGGGAGCGGGAGCGGCACTGGGCACCAGGAGCGGGCACCGGGAGCAGCAGTGGGAACGGGAACGGCACCGGCGAGCCCGGACACCGGGAACAGGAACAGCACCGGGAGCGGGCACCGGCAGCGGCAATGGGAATGGGAACGGCACCGGGAACCGCACAGGACCCACCGAGCCCGGTACCCTCAGTTCCCGAACCGCTCCGGGTGCTTCAGGAGAAACCCAACACGTCCCTCCTAGAGATATGTGCATACATAATCCGGACATAACCTCATAAACTACCGTCATCGCCCCACTGAAATTGTTCGCTAAAATAATCCCATGTTATTCATTGGGCACTCACCTTTCAAGGACCACCTGCTGAGGTTTAGCTTGGTAAAGTATCTGCTACAGCGCCACACTAATTTCCTACTCTCCCTTATAAGCCCCCTTTGTAATTACATCCCCAAATTAATTACTTCCAAACTTAACACATACATGTTACAAAACTCACCTCTACCAATTTTTGATACTGTCCCGGTATTATCACTACCCTAATAGCTTCAATATCAGTTTAAATACAAATACTTGTAACACATCATTTTCCAATTAACTAAGCTCTCTACTCCTGCAAACAGATGCAGTTATTCCCTGATTAAGTACTCAGAACTTTTGGTTACTTTGTGCTTCCTAAAAATAGATCCAGTCACAGAAGTACAAGCATCAAAGTTATCTTACAGACACTCCATGCATCCTCAGACACTGAAACAGCAAATTTAAATACCAAAACACCAACCACAGAACAGCATTTTGGGCTATTGACCAGCAGAAAATGTGTCTTGGATGCTTTAACCAACCAAGTCATTGGAAACTAGTGATTTAAGTTCTTCTAGCTCCACGGCAAACCAAAGGCAAAATTTTAATAAGCTGCTCCTGAGTTAACATCTTGTATTTCGAGTATTGCCTGGAGCCAGAGTCCAAGTCTGAATGACAAGTCTGTAGCAATGTGAGGCAGCACAAACTGCAGCAGTGTAGTTTGCAGCAAGGGCATGTGATCCTTCCAAAGTCTTCTAGCAGAGGATTTAAGAAAAAATTAAACTATCTCCGATACTTCAGAATGGTAAATGGCTGTAACAACAGACTTAATGACTAAATTTAGACCCTGAGCACAGCTTTAAGCCCCAGTTATCCATACCAGAGTAGAACAATAAGGAGCAATTTTTATTCCTCCTCTTCCCACTCCTCCTGTAGGGGAGGAGGATGAGAACAGACAGCATGCACAGGCATGGCAGTGACCAGCACTTCTCCTTAGGGCAGATCGTGCTTAGCACCAGGGATGTGAACAGTCAAAACACCTTAAAATGGACATTAGGGAGCCCCAAAGGTACACAGGGGCATGAGATAAGCAAAGGTACAGCCTGACAAAGCAGATCACAGGAACTCTGTGCTCAGTACATCCTGCTCCACACAGATTTAAGGACTGGTAACTAGTTAAGCTTCCAGATGTCACAGTGACCATCGAGTCACCTTGGTGTTAGGTTAGCCCCAGCTGGTGCCTGCTGTGTGTGCCCAGAGTGCTCAGCTCTGAGAACAAGCACTCCTGGCAGCCATATGTTTCTGGTCTGCTAGGAGAAGTCCAGGCTCTGCTGAGCAAATAACAGAAAAATCAATGGCAACCTCTGCTGGCTGGTTCTAGACACAGGTAAAATGTGTGCTCTAAAGAAATTTTAACTGAAGGGACAAAGGGGTTCAAAAGCAGGGAAGTTTGACTTGTTTGGGAATATAAGCAGTCTTCCTTCATCTCCTTCACTTCACTTTTTCAAAAAAAACAGTCATGCTGCCAGCTGCCAGTGGCTTTATCACCTGAGTCACTCGCTGTAAACTGCACCATGCTCACAGCACTAAGTTGTACTCTTTTATGTATGTTTAGAGGAATATATGTAAGTGAAATATATTTAAGTGAAAATTAATCAGAAATCAGCTAGTCCTGATGAAACTGTGCAGTTACAGAGGGAATTCTACAAAATATAGCAATACCAGACTGTTGTATCAGAGACAGCACGTTAAAAGCTCTACGGCAAGTTTTTTAATTTGGAGATTAGGGGCACATTTGGGCCTCTGGCAGGGTTTTAAATAAAACCTGCTTCAGGATTTTTTCTAATTTGTGTTTTAAGAAAAGGAAGTGAGGAAGAGATAAGTTCTATTGGAAGAACTGCCTTACTGTCATCAAGGCAGCATCCCACATGGTGCACATGTTTCCACACCTGGTTACATCCAGCCGGTGGACCTCAGCACTCTTCAGACCCAACAGAAGGAGCAATTCCTCATCTTCTTTATAAATTACACCAGCTACAAACAATACAAATCACCACACAAACCATAAGGCTCACACCATCTGATCCTGCTGAAAACAGAGGGGATGTGGCAGGAGCACGAGCTTTGTATATGCAAAGCAAGGCAATGAAAGCAGTGGTGATGTGTGACCCTGAAAGGAAACCAGATAAAGCTTCTCAGACAGAAAAAGTCCATATGGAATGAGATTTAGAAGTTCCAAGCAAGAAAACAATCTATTAGTCATTCTGTTTGAAAAGGAATAGCAATATTTGTTTGCTAAATCCTTTGTTGTAAGAAAATAAGATTGGTAGAAGCAATCCCTGCAGTGCACAAAGCAGCATCTCAGTCATACCACCCATTTCTAGTTTGAAGTCTTCCCTTGTTAAATTATTGGATGGTCAGCTGGATTAAATGGACAAAAATAATTTCTGTAAAATCTCTCTGAAAGGCATTGATGAGAGTAAGGAGGTCGAGCTGAGTGAGGGATAAGGAACACAGTAGTTATTTATTTGGATGCAGACCAGAATGACAGTGTTGATATACATACCAGCTCATCAAATTCTATTTTTTCTGCCCAACTCTTTTTTTTTTGTTATTTTACAGTATTTTTTCCTTTTACATACTTTCTCCTAAGCCTAAAGTATAAAGGTGTTCCTTCAGGTTGCTTTTTTAAAAATCTTAACTACCTCTGGCATTATTTACTTTTACATGTATCTTATGGACACCCTGGTTTTGTTTTTAATGCCTCCAGAACAATTCTATTCTATAAAGCTTGCATTTGTAGTGCAGCTTAAAAGCAGCAGAGAACAAAGGAAAAATAATTTGTTGCCTTAAAAATTGTGTGTGCGTGTATGTGTGCATAGATAGGGTTTTCTACATCATACTGGTGTTTGAAGTTGCTCTATGAAGTCACATTAGTGCTGTATTTAAGGCAGAAATGTGTTCTATTTGTTATTTGGAATATAAAGCCTCTTCCCCAGATCCACCCACTCCAGCTGTCTATTTAAAACCTGCTGGAGAGCTCGCGCTCACTCAGAACACACGGGGACTGTGACCTCAGTGCAGGCATATGATGAGACATAACAAGTGTCTATATATTTATAAATAAACCCATTATTTTTTCTCAAAACAAGCTTGGGCTTCTCAAACCCCTCACACCCTGTAGATACCATCTGACCCGATGTCTTGCTCCAAAGCGGGGGGACAAAGTTCTAAGTCAGGTCCAACACCAAATTTAAGCCAAGTTGTGCTGGGCTCTACATTCAGCTGAGCCATGAACCTCTTCAAGGATGGAGTTTTCACACTGAGCCACTGTTCCAATGCCTCATTCTCCCTGTAAGTCTCACCAGCAGCTCAGAACTTTTCTTGCTGTGGTTTGACTCATCCTCATCAAGACTAAACACACTTGGGCCAGTGGCAAAAACCCGCAAGTGTCAGCAGTGAAGGAAACAGTATATTGTAGAATATGTACGAATATATATATATTCTATATATAAATATATATATTCTACATATGGAACATATATTCTGAAGGAATATATATTCTATATATAGAATATATATATTCATTTATAGAATATAAGGCATATATTAATCTATAGAATTGATTAATATATTCATATATATCCATATTTAGAATATAAGACATTTTATAGATTATATTCTACATATATATAGACTATATATATTATATATATTCTATATATAGATTATATATATATCTAATATATATAATATATAGATGAATATATTCTATAGATGAATATATTAATATATATAATATCTATATATAATATATATATTCCTTCAGAATATACTGAAGGAAGCAGTATATTGTAGAAACTTTTAAACCATTTCTCCACCTGCTAGTCCTATTTTTCAGTTTTGCTATCAGAGACAAGTTCTTTTCCTTCTCCCTCCCAACCTATGCTCCTAAAGCATGCCATAAATCATTTTACACTGCTATGGCTCATGTAGCTGGTGCTGCAAGAAAGATCAAGAGACATCAGGTACAGCTGCAGCTCTGAAATGCAGATGCTCTTGTGGAGCACTCACCTCCTGGTACAGGAAAAAAGTCAGCACAGGCCTTTTCTGCAAAACTGGACTTGGCGGCAGCAGCAGAGCAGGCTCTGTAAGGTGGGGCAGAAGGAAGAGGCTGGTATAATCTGGAGTCAAGGGTGGGGGCAGTTCAGGAGAATGCAGCCTGATCCTCTGCTGCACTCACAGCCCAGTCCTTTTCCAGCACTGTTTCCAATGATGCAAATATTAGCCCGCATCACACAAGTGTTAGGTAATTAGGATGCTGTGATGCAGAACAAGAAGAAATGGGCAAATAAATTTTTTTATGTCAGTCAGTGGAGAGAGATGGGCATTCACATTTGCAAGTTTATTGTGCAGTCTTTTCATGCTGTTAAGCAATAATTACATCAAATGCTTCTAAAGTTTGAAACTTTCAAATTATTCCTAATATTATTCATGTATTTAATAAATATTATGCAAGCTTTTGGAATAAATTGCTACAATCTCCTTTTAAACAT